CAGTCCCACCATTGCCACAGGCAACATCCCCTGTAGTACCTTTTTGATATCCATGTCATCCAGGTGGTTTTGGATGAACTGCACAGTAGCATTAAAATCTGCTTGATTGAACTCATAGGGTATATTCCAGCCAAGTGGTCCAAATTTGCGCCTTTCCTGGACCGTGGAGTGCAGGAAAGCCACTGCATACAGCATGGGCTTCCACTGCATTACAGTGCTCACATCCAGCAGGTCCTGGCTCACTCCTATTGGAGACAGTTGGTAGGAAACGCATCATTTTTCATACATTTCATTTTCTACTACTTTAATAAATTATATTTTGTAACTTCCTGATACTAAATTTCACTTATTTAGAATTATTTCTTTGCACTCACATGAAAATTGTAATTTGACTTTTGATATCTACCGAACATTTCTCTCTGAAAATAATCTGCTCAGAGGTGATGTGGACAGAGGAGTTCCCAACAACTCAATGCCTGCTCATTAAACATGGTATTGTGGGCATCAAATAGAGATAATAAAATGATGATAGTAAAACGATGAATAAAAATAATAATTGGGCATGTGCTCGGGTTGCAAAGGGCTTCCATAGGTACTATTTTATTTACAATTAAATTATTGTTGTTATTTTTATTTAATTTTACTGTCATCATTCTTCTACTTCCCTTTTGTTCTCACATTCCTTGTAGAATGAAAGGAAGTTGAATCTTGTTAGCCACACTCAAAATCATCTCTCTGCAGATATTTCAGCCAAAAATATATTCACAGTGATCATTATTACTATTATTATTTACACTATTTAAGAAAATGTATTTCAATGCTCCTAGGTATATTTTATTATCCCTATTTTACAGGCGAGGGATTGCCTCTCAGGATGTGGTCCTAACTATTATCCAAGCAAGCAAAACTCTGGTCAAAGGAATGAGCAGAATCAGGCTACCTGACCCCAAATTTCATGCTCTATGCATGACCACGAGCCACAGGCCCAAATCCATGAGCCATATGTGAGATGGTACAGTATTTTTCTTCCTGTGGTTGACTTAATTCACTCAAAATAATAAGTCCATCTGTGTCATGGCATGTATCAGGGATTCACTTCCCTCTGCAGTAAAGCCCCATTGCATATGCACAGTATACATTATACCATACATCTCAGCTTCTCAACTAATGGCCACTTGGATTGTTTCCACCTTTTGGTGACTGGGACATGTGCTACAATGAACATTGGTGTACAGGTGGCTATTAGCATAGATGCTCTGAGCTCTCTTGAGTCTTCCTAAGAATGGAACTAATATGAAACACTTAGAATAGACTAGAGGCCAGAGTTAAAAGTGGGAGCCAGGGTTGGGCAGGAAAGGGCTCTTTGCTTTGCTAGCATGAGGTTTCTACGTATGGGGGCCGAGACGATGGCAGTAGACAATGGTGATGGTTGCATAAAATGACCAGTGTAATTGGTTCCACCATGGGCAAAAAGTTGAAGTGGAAAGGCTGTGTTACTTATATATTTACAACTTTCTCACACAGTCTATGAAGCAACGAGCATAGTCTGTTCCACCGGTGATTGAAGGGACATTTGCATTTCTTTTTATTGTCATGATTCACTTACTTTAAAACTGGTAGTAAACCAACTGTAACATAAAAGTTGACATTTTAACCATCTTGAAGTGTACAATTCAGGGTTACATGACTACTATCTACTCCCAAAAGATTTGGATCATTGCACAGAGACCCTCAATGTTCCTTTAGCACTGAAATCATGACCCCCCTGCTCTCTCTGCATTTGCCAATCCTGGAGATACCATTAAGTGAGGGTCACTAACATCCCGACATATGGCCTGAACAAAATGCAGGTGGTCCATAATTTTAATTCCGTTTCTTCTCTTGGAAGGGTATGAAACCCTATGACAAAACCACCCCATGGAACACAATGACTAAACGGGACAGAATTATCACTTTAATGTTTTCTGATACAGGTATATAGCTGGAGGACCTAGGTAGAGTCCCGATTTCCTGTCATCTTTGGACCACGGTCTACCTAGATTCTGACTCACGAGGGCCACCACCAGAGTTCAGTGACCGTTCCACCTGATAGAACTGCAACCCAGCAAACTGTTTTACAATGTCCTTCATCAAACACTGTAAGTACAGCACGTGCCTGTGGGCTCAAAGGCCTGCCTCCACTCACCGCTGTATGTTCTTTTCAGTCCTGCCCGGAGGCCCTGTGGAGGCTCGTTGGCAAATTTAATGGACATCTGAAGGAGTGTGATGGGGAACTGCTTATGGACCTCGGTGGTCATCCATAGGCGGAAAGCCTCATGGACAGCCTCTGTCTCTGTAATTATGTCCATGAGCTCATCCATGAAATCGAGTCCCAGGTGGCAGTTCTGCAGAAGTGCCCATCCTCCCTGAGCCAATGACAACACATAGAAACGTGGCTGCTTCAGGTTTCAAGAAGAGACTAAAAGCAATAATCCTACAGACATTAAACAGCTCGCATATTAGCCACTGGAAACGCAGGTAGGTCAAGCCTAAGATTTCAGTGACTGCATTGAGAGAAGGGATTTCCCTTCCCTGTTCCCTGCATTGTGTCTCGCGGTGTAACTGAAGGCCAATAGAGTAATCCTATGAGGCAGCAGCCGTGAAAACAACCAAAGTGAAAAAAGAGAAGTGATCATGGTGCTTGCAAGTGGCAATGGCTCATGGGAAGGATCCCTTTAATGCTGTGCCCTCCCCAAATCCTACTACAACTGCAAAGAAGATGGATGCTTTTTAAGGCATGAACTCTGAAGAACAAAGATAGCAAGGGTGAAGTTAATAATGGTCATACTTTAAAAAGATTCAGTGGTCTCTGGTTGGCACGCAGCTGCCAACTGAGAGCTTTACAAGTCAAGTCTACCGAGAGGCACCTCAGAAGACTGTTTTGGCAATCAATTTCTGAAGGAAAAAACCAGCCATTGAAAGCCCCACGGAGCACAGTTCTACTTGTGTTCTACTCATGAAATTACCACAAGTTGGAGCTGACTCCATAGCAAATTTAATATAAAATACCTAGTACCCATTGCTAAAGAGTCTTGGTGGCATAGTGGTTTGTGCATTGGGCTGCTAACCACAAGGCCAGCAGTTCAAAACCACCAGGTACTCCTTAGGAAGATGAGGCTTTCTACACCTGTAAAGATTTACAGTCTCAGAAACCCACAGGGACAGTTCTGCTCTTCCTTTAGAGTCACTGGGAATCAGAACAACTCCATGACAGTGACTTTGACTTTGTGGCAATACCTTTGGCAGGTGTTAAAACAGACTCAAGAAAGCTGACTCCTAAACTGGCATTGAGGTAAACTGAAATGTAATCTAATTTAAAACACTCAAAGAGTAGATGCCATGCCTCATGAAGTGGTCACTGAAAAGATGGGTGTTATAGCAAAGTGTGGTGAAGAAATTAGGTGATGTCCAGCTATTTGCAAGAATAACATCTGGGTTTTAAAGGCTTTTCTTAAAACATGCAGTCATCTAAGTGAGGTGTGTCTAAGTCCACTCAGAAGGAGCACACCAGCCCCTGTGATATAAGGATTATAAATAATAAAATACAAGATCATAGGGGGGAATCATATTCTAGCTTAAGTTCTGAACACTCGGCTTGCAGAAGACTATGTATGGCAGTGAAAGCCCAATAGCCCTTTGCATAGTCCCCACATAGATTAAGCCTCCATTGAATCCCCTCAGATCACTGACAGGTGTTGAGAACATCCTTGCCTTTAGAGAGGGCCTTAGAAAGTTAGTTACTGATGTGTAGTCAGGTTAAAATTTAAAATATTATCATTTGTTTTTCCTTTTGACAGGTTTTTAATTTGTTTGAGTTCCTATTCTTATTTCCTTTGGATTGAGGTTTTGCTGTGTTTTTGTTGTTGTTGGGGGGGGGGGGCTTTTGTATGATTTTTTAAAGGAAATCTGGGATAGGATAGGGACAGTAGCGAGATGAGTAGTTCCTTAGAGTTATGGAAGGGAACTTGGGAAGTAATGGGAGCTAATAATTACGGATACAAAAAAAAGAAAATTTTCTAAAATTGATTGTGGTGATGATTGCACAACTATCTTTAATATAGTTAAACCATTGAATTGTATAATACATTAATTATATGCTCAAATAACCATAAAAACAAAAGAGTTGGAGGCATGCAATACCTCTGAAGGTGATGGGAGATGATGTGGCCAAAACAGAAATGCTGGTTCAAATCCAACACTCCTCAAAACAGGGGAAGGAAGCTCCCTTCTCCTCTAAGTCCCCATAATGTTAGCAGCCAGAGCTGTGATCTTTAGAATGTGGAATATGGCCACCCCAAATACAGGAGCCTTGAAATAATCAGCATAATTCATGTACAATGTTTTCTGTAGATATAGCAGACTGGTTTCAGAATGTAAAACAAATCCAAGAAAAAAAACAGGTTAAACAATAATAATTTTCTCCATACCTAATCTACAGAATTATCTTTGCTAAAGTCATGTACAATATCTATTTTTTTCTAATCTACCACTGGTAGGTGTTCTCCTGACCCTGTAGCTCACTTTGGGTCTTTTAGGTTAATCCTCACATGGCCCCAACTCATTAACATTCAGCTACTGACCAAAAAGTTGGTAGTTAGAATTGACCCAGAGGCACCTGGGATGAAATGTCTGAAAACCCACTCCCAAAAGACCAAGACATTGAGAGCTCTTTGTGCTGTCCTTCTCTGAAACATAAAATTCTACCTGGGAGCACCTGGAGTTACCTGGAGTCAGAATCACCAGCAATTAGTACGTTTGCCTGTGTTTGTACTCAGTCCCCAAACAAACCAAGTGCCAGATCTAAAACCTTAGTGGAGTTCCATATGAACCAGCCATTTACATCATATCACATAATCCCTAATATTTCCTTCAGAAATATAGCACTGCTCAATAGACTGCCTGCTCTGTGCTCCCTGAAAACTGCTGTTGATACTGCTCACGATCCAAATCAGAGCATGCTCAATACAAGACAACGGCAACCTGCGGCTGCAGATGCTCTCTTCCATCCAGTAGGAAGGGGCATGCTGCGCTAGCTAAGCTTCCCGGTGGGAAAACTGAGGACAGTCGCCACCTTGAAGTTGTTTCGCCCTGTTGCTTCTTTGGAATTGCTCTACTAGCCACACCCAACCCACTGCCAGTGAGTCGGTTTTGACTCAGGGTGACTCTGAGTAGGACTTCCAAGATTGCCAGTCTTTATGGGAGCAGACAGCCTCATATTTCCCCCGTAGAGCAACTGGTGGATTTGAACTGGAGGCCTTACAGTGAACAGCTCACTGCCTAACCCAAAGCACCACACTGCAGGACTCTATGTTAAACATCCGATTTTCTTCTTACTGAGTAGATCATACATTTTTCTCTCCTTGGGTCGTTGGTTTATTTTTCCTTGTTACCACAAATCATTTCATGCAACCTTTTTTTAAACATAACTTTTAAAACACTAATATCTCTAACAAGTTATACACATGGTAATAATACGGATTTGGTTTATTTTATTTGAACTTAATAGATTCCTAAACAGAACACAGGTATAGACTGGAGTTAAAATTGCTCTCTTTAAAGTCTAGTTTAGTTACCTGATGCTCTCCTTATTTATCTTAATTTTAAATTACACAAGACCCCATTAATGTTCATGTTTCACATTCTTATAACAACGCTATCTTTGCACCAGGAGTGGAAAATGAGATGTTCAGGTTGAGTGAGTTCTCAACGAATGTTTTAAATTGTATCTGTTTTTCTGTGAAACCAGTATTTTTCACAGTGCAAAACAATGTTTTATGTTAAAATAATATCCGTGTCTAATAGATATTATACTTTTCACGGCTTAGTAAGGAGCATGCATCATGTAAATCCAAACTCTTCTAATGATTCATATGTTCTTCTCCGTGTTGCTCTCTGACAAGGTAAGACAAATTTAAATGCCTGGCCTTACACTGGCCATGGTCTGCTGCAGCAGCTTGCGGGCATGGACCTCTTGGCCCTGGCCCATGGACACATAGCGGGTCTCTATCTTCAATCTCTTCCCCAAGGCAATGATGGAATCTGTGGGGTCTGAACCCATCGACAGAAGACAGATGAGTGGCGTTCGAGGATCTGATTCCTCCCACGTCTTTTCCAAGTCCAGGATAACACCTTCGGCATAGTTTTCTCCCATGGAGTCCATGATGTACTTGCGGGCCTACCAAAAACAGGACAGGAGTCACTCATAGCCCAACTGCTCCATGTAAAGCATGCAATATGGTTTTTCAAAGTTCCTGTCGTTATACTATGTTACTGGTGCCCACAGTATGCCTGGCTGAGAGTTTTTGTTTGTTTATTGTGGGTTAATTTGATCCCCATTTGTTGGGGTGGAGACAGTGTCACTTTCCAAACAAAAATTACTCAGTTGAAGAACAGAATTCAAATGTTTCCATTACTTCTCTGAAACCTAGTAGCCCTAGTGGGACTGTCAGTTATGCATTGGGTTACCAACTACAAAGTCAGTGGTTCAAACCCACCAGCTTCCCCACAAGAGAAAGATGAAGCTACTTGCTCCCCCAAAGATTCACAGCCTTAGAAAGCCTGTGTGGCACCAGAATGGACTCAATGGCAATGGGTTTGGGGTTTGGTCTCTGGAACCTATTTGAATTGCTGCTTCTTGCTATAGATACAAAATAAAAATGTGAGAAATTCTTATCATTTAAGATGTTTTGAGGGAAATAAATATGTATCTAAATAATTAAGCAAGCAGCAAAATTCCCAGAATTTAATGAGTCGAATTGATCATTATTGAATGACTATTTATTGAATGAGTAAATGAAAATTATAAACCCTTAGCTCATAAATATTCTATGTATGTAGCAAAATTTGCATTCTGTGACATCAACCAAGAGCACTTTTTCTTCAATCCATACTACTTTCTACTACTACATATTTTTATCATTCCAAAGCCCAAACCATCACTACTTGCTAACTCTGTTTCCTCTATCTGTAGTAGCAATATCCCCAATTAAAAAAATGCATTGTCATGGAGTCAATTCTGACTCATGTAGAACCTCTAAGAGAGGATACAACTTCCCCTGATGGTTTCGGAGACTGTAACTCTACAGGAGTAGCAAGTCCCATCGGCCCCCTGGAGTGAGTGAACTGCAAGCCACCTGCCCTGACATGTCCCGATAGGGCCTCTTATCAAGATGGCAGTAGAGATGGTGTGGAGTGCACCATCTCAGGGTTTTATGTCGGAACTGTAGCTCCGCCGTGTAGGAACACAAATACGTATCACCCTATAATCAGTTTCAGAGCGTGGTCAAGCACTGTGAGTTTGAAAATCAGACACAGGAAAGGATTTTAGGATTGCTGACCACATTTTAAAAGTGCAGCACAAACGGGACCTGGATGAGTAGGTCTCGGTCAACAATTGGTTAATAGTCTCCTATGAATTCTTCTCTGTTCTTTCTGCCAAAAAAGTAATAATGTTTTCTATAAAACGAAACCATAACCCCGATGCTTCTCAATCATGAAATTTTATAATTTTATATATTAGCTTTCATGTCTTAGATACTATATGGGTGGACAATAATTACATTGCCTTCTGGTCTTTCATTCAGTCTTTTTACTTCAAGGGTCCGTCTTTGATCACCTCTGAGACACCGAACAGTGGAGGCACCAAAGAGAAGTGTCTTGCTAGGGGACCAGTTGAGTGGAGGTTTAAATTGAGTGTACTTTCGAATGTTTTTCAGGAAAGAAAGGAATTGAAGTATCTTCCCGGAACAGGAAGTTACTAGTCCAACTCTTTCAATAGTAGGGTGGGCAAAGAGGCATTACCCAAGGAACTTACAAGTCTCAACAGCTCAAGCATCTGCTCTGCCAACCTGAATTCCCAGTAAGTTCCCATTATTGAACTGTCTCCTTTGGGACTCAACTCCAGGGCAAGCTCAAGGTTATAACTGCAGAAGGGGCTGGATAGCCAGCCCAGACAGTGACCTTGTTCTTCCCAATAACTGCTAACTGTTAACACTAATCTCTATTATTAGATAGGACACCAGAAGTGGGTGCTACATAGATGGTGCCCAAGAGAGGATGCCTATAAGCATTAATGGTAGACGAGGATGTCCGAGGATGTAGGATCTGAACCAGAATCAAAGCAGTCTGCTCTAGTTTGAGGTTTCTGAAAGACATCCAACCCCCTGGGAGCAGAATGATTTTCAGCAGGAAGGGAAGACCGAAGACCAAATTGTCTAGTTCACAACTCTACCTGGACAGGGAACTTCAGGAGTTGCTAGGAGGCTGTCCCTCTGGTTCTTTTCTGTTACCAGTCAGACTTATTCTCAGTGGTGGGATGCAGTCTGTTTGTACCTATTTGGCAGCGCCAATATCTGATTTTTTATTGAGTTTGGTGAACCCATTGTTAAATGGCACTTGCAATCAGGGTTCTAAGGTAGAAATCACAAATTTGCTTGCCTTACTCTTTTATAATGTCCGTCTGGCAACAGTGATGTTCTAGTATCATGGAACAATAAACTACCTTTTGATATATAATTTTTTTATACTTAAAGCATCCATTAGGTGAGCAGACCGGTAGTAAGTTATTTGAATCCCATTACAGAATCCTGTCTGTGTTGGGATGCTATTGACTCTGGTGGGGTCTTTCTCTCTACCCACTCCCTTACCTTCCAACATCTAACTTCCAACATCTCAATAAGTACAGAAATTAGGCACCAGGTTGAGCTAAATTGCCAGGCTCAGAATCTTATTCTACTCATCTGGTCATGTGGCTTTGGACTTCTTTATTTCTGCATCCATGCAGTATGGAGGCAGTAATTAAAATGGCCAAGCTTAGAGGGTGTTTTATGAATTGAATTATACCTTCCCATATGTTATGAAATTCTAAACTCCAGATGCATTTGAATGATAGTGTTATCAAAAACTACTGAACGTACCATGGACTGCCGAAAGAACAAACAGACTTGTCAGAGAAGAAGCACAGCTAGAATGCTCATCAGAGGCAAGGATGATGAGACTTCGTCTCAAGTACTGTGGACACGTTATCAAGAGACACCAATCCCCAGAAAAGGATTTCATTCCTGGTAAAGTAGGAGAGTCACAAAGAAAAGAAAGGCCCTTGGCAAGATGGATGGACAGTGGCTGTGCCAATGGGCTCACACAGACTTACACTGCACTGTTGAAAAAACTATGTTTTCTGTCAAAGAAAAAGAGAGCAAGAAGCTGCTCCGACATTCCCTTCCATACTGCTGTGAAATAAGGCAAGTCTTTTTGACAATTCATTTGGGCAGGATAAAAGTAATGAAGTTCAGAAGAAAAAATGAGGAAAGGTGCCCTGTGTTGCAAAACTCATTTTTCTTTTCTCAATAAATCTCTGAATGTGGTTGTTTCTATGGTTCCACAGTGGACCAAGTGGACCTGGCGGTGGTTATGCCCCATGTTTTTAACACCCCTTCTGGACAGTAAAGGGCAGAGCATCCTTCATTCCATTCCATAGCCTGGCCTATCAGTACTCTACAGTTTATTTGAAGAAGTCCTTCGGGAACCAACTTGTGCCGAATATTAGAAACGTGTCTTTTCATATGTGAAGGCAAGACTCAACAGATCTCTGAAAAAGTAGATCTTCTTGAGGCAGGAATCACATTGAAATTTTTCAGACAATTCAAATATGAGTGGTTCACCAAGTTCATGAAAAAATGGAATTAAAAGATAGCTTTTCCCCCACAAACTTTTTGAAGCTCCCTTGTAGTTCTAGGCCCGATTCCTTTCTTGCATATTGACACTTCCTAGGCAAATGTTAAAGGCTAGAGCCTCTGTCTAGTCCACCCACCCTTCTTAACCTCTTGACGTCCTTCCTGCTCAAAGTAATATTATGTACTAGAAAACAGAATAGCCTACTATTTGGGGGTTATAATAAAATACAACTACAGAAGAATACATTACCCTGATGTTCTACCTGGTCGTCAAGCACACAAATATGGTTCTCTCATTCACTCTGTATTATATACCTCACAGCATTTCTTCATGTTAGCTTTTACAGTGTGCATATTTGCATGGATAGACAAGCACATGAGACTGCACTGGAAAATTCTCACTGAGATGAACATTTTAAATATTTCTTTAAATATAAAAGGTAATTCTCCTTAATACTTCAATCTCCTCTCCCCTCTCTCTTCCCCTTTTGCCCCCTGCTTTGCCTCCCCATCCCCCACTTCTCTTCTCTCCTTTCCCATGTCCCCTGCCCTTCCCCTGTTTCTCTCACTTGGGCAATGGTTCGATCAGGACACCAGGACCTAATCAGAAGAAGCCGTCTGAAGCAATCGAGAGATTTATCATAGGCATTTGGAAGCGGTTCCTCTTCAGGATTTTCCTTATCAAACCAAATTTTCCATATTTTCTCATTTCTCGAGATCTGAAAATACCAGTGGGGGTAAAAAAATGTGTCAAACCACACAAACAACTTTCAGGAACAATGCACAGATCTTTTTTCATCAAGCAGTCTGATCATTCCAGAAGTATATGAATTGTGTCACTTGTTTATTCCTTGCATTGTTATATCGGGACGTCAAATAGTCTGAGAATCTAAGTTACAAGCGATTTTCTGCAAAGAGAGTCTGTATTAACACCAGCGTATGGCTAGTTCCCAAAATAGGGAGATCTCACATCAAGAAATTCTTCTACGATATTTTTGGCAAGAAAAATGTTAAGTATAAATAAACCAGTGGAAACGCATTACCATCAATTGAAGGAAGTCTGATTTGCTCTTACCATCCCCTCAGGATGAGGGACCCAGTTTCATTAGCCTACGTTTCCACATTTCCCAAAACTGTTTCAGCCCAGAACAAAGATACTTAATACATGTAAAATTTAATGGTAAAAATTTTGATCGATATTCTAGTAGTCTAGGGTAATGTGAAATATATGACTAACTAGATGCATCATATGTATGATCAGACACCTGCTAGCTTTAAGCAATTGAAAATGAGAAAAAGGATACACTCATTATCCTTTGGGGCTTAACAACAAAGAGACACAGCATTACATAGGCAAGCATCTAAAGGTCATTGAACAAACAAAAGAGGCCTATAAATAAATATAATCTTAAATTCTCTGCCATAATCCCTTTGATGAAAGTCCCGAAAGTATTGCTTGGGGTTTCGTCAAAGGAAAAAATCATTCCAAGTATTTACTTTGAAAGTATCCTGTTAAAAAAATAATAAACTCTTTTAATCATGAAAGATTATTGTGGCATTTACATAATCTGTTGTCAAATTGAGACTTACAAGTGAAGGGATAGAGTTTAGCCTGACAATCAGGTCATCACCTGAAGACTTTATTTGGAGGCACTAAGGAGATAAATAGCTCACTGGAGGCAGGACACTGACTCACTTCCTGGGAGACATAGTTGTGGACAAGACACATGGAGCTATGCTGGAGCGCTGGAGCTGAAGGAGTCATGTGGAGCTCCCTTATAACGCCACTGGATCCACAAGACTTCCCACCCACTGGCCTGTGACCTTCCAGCTTTCGGAGTCATTGCATGTGTTTCGTGAGGCTGAAGAGGACTTTATAGATCGGTATTGGACATATGGGCTAATATTGGTCTTATGGACTTGATCTGAACTGGGCTGTGAAGTTTTCTTAATGTACAATTACTCTTTATATAAATCTCTTTCTTATACACATATGAGTGTCTATGATTTTGCTTCTCAAGTCCTACCCAGACTAACACAACGATGTAGTATGAAGGGGTTTTCAGGCATAAAATATAGGTAATCTCCAGAAGAGAGTGACTTCAATAACAAATAAAGGACCCCTGTGAAGAAATGACAACTTGGCTAAGACCATTGCATGGAAGAGCATTCACAGGGCCTGAAACACTGCTATTGACCCCAAAGAATGGTTGTCCCCTCAAGCGCATGGTAGTAATAGCAAACATCATTGCCAGTTGGACTTTATCTGCAAAAATATAGCAGAATTGAAGCATCTAGTCAAATTGGGAGACTCATGAATGAACCTAGTCAAAAACCAACCAACCAACCAACAAAAGCAATTTCTCAACCTGTGGCTGAAAAACAATCACCCTGCTGGCAATCTGAGTTCTCTCTCATTGTTATTGTTTTTGTTGTTGCTGTTGTTATTGCCATCAAAGCAGTTCTGACCCATATTAACCCTGCACATACCAGAATGAAACACTGCTGGGTCCTACCCCACCCTCACAATTGTTTCTGTGTGTGAGCCTATTGTTGCAGCTACATTTAGTTCAGTCACCTTATTTTCCAAAACCCAAAACCTGTTTCCTGGCCAGTACCAATTTAACCCCAGCTTCCATGAACCCAACACATTCCATCAGGAACTGGCTTGTTATGTGAGTTAGTTAATTGTGCCAGCCTGGCCGATAATCACATGTGGGGCTAATTGAAAGGCGGAGGGATAAATGGGTGGTGA